CTCTAACAGGGCTGCGTCCCTCGCTGGCCTCCCTCCTCTCCTGCCCTTTCCCCCTCGCTCGCCGAGCCAGCCGCGTCAGCCCCTGCGATGCTCCTCACACGGTCCCTCGGACTCTTGCTCCGGCTGTTTCTTCTGCCTGGGATCCCGCTCCCCAGGGAGCTGACTCTCTAACTCCCCCAGCATTGCCCAGGAGACCTACCCTGACGACCGGTGCAGCACTGCACGACGTCCCCAACACGCACGCACCTGCTACGACCCTTCCCCTACAGCACCAACAGCCACCTAGCACACAGTGTCATTTACTTAGATGATGCGTTAATTATTATCAGACGTCTCCACTCATTAGAACGTACGAAAGCGTGTTTCTCTGTTTTTGTTCACGCTATGCACCGAGCACCTAAAACAGAGCCTGGCACATACTAGGTGCTCAGTATTTACTTGTTGGATGAATGGATGACCCCCCCACCCCCACCCCCCAACCCTCAGACTCTGGTAGCATTTGGTCTGTTCTTTAAATGCCACATATCACTTTGCCATGCGCTGCTGTTGGGAGTCAGGGTGAGACTGGTCGAAGCATTCCAAAAATGCTAAAGATAGTGAAGTTCTCCGTGAGTTGATTTGACACATGACCACTGAATGGTGGAAGGTAGTTAAGAAAACTTGCGTTTTAACTTGAAGAATATTGATTGACACTTAAAAGGGAAAATGCCTTTTATCTTTTAAAATAAATGTTTCTATTGGTTTATGTTTTAGAGTAAAGTAAGCTAGTTTACAGATTCGGCTTACAGTTAAAGGTACTAGAGAGAAGGGTCGGGGGAACTTGAGCCTATTAAGTCATTTTCCTTTGTGCTTTCTAGTGACCCCTGGAAAAGTAAAACTTCAGCATTTCCTGTCTGTGTCTCTCTTTCCAGTCGCTCTGGCCTTTGACCCAAATTACACGGCTGGCATTACGCCCCCATACCTGGTCTACCTGAAATCCAACTACCTGCCCTGCACGGGAGCCCTGATCCACCCGCTGTGGGTGATTACAGCGGCGCACTGCAATCTGCCGTGAGTAATGAGCCCCCGGCCCTCCACGCTTGGGGTCCTCAGGCTGGGCACAGACCCAGACTCAGCCTGGACCACTGCCCAAATCCATGGGCTCGGGGAGGCCTTCTGGGATGTGCGGTGGTAGAGAAACAGGCCTGTGGGGAGGAGCTAGTGACGGGCCAGAAGGATGGACAAGCCGCCTCCGTTAAGTCCTCTCAAGAACACCCATATTGCTCCAGGAGACTTCACGTGGTATTGGGGGTTACAAACCCGTCAAGCCTCACGGAAGAAAATGTCCAAGTCGTTGGCTACGAGAAGATGATCTATCACCCGTACTTCTCAATCACTTCTGTGGAGAATAACCTCTTGTTAATCAAGCTGAAAAGATATATTCAACTCGATGACCACGTGAAGCCGGTCGGCCTGCCCAGTGAACCTGCCCCTGAAGAAGCCATGTGCACCGTCTCCACCTGGGCCTTCAGCTTGTGTGATGTCTGTGAGTGACCTCAACATTCTTCTCTCAGAACCGGACATGCTTCCAGCCCTTCCCTCCTCCTGGCTTCCGCAACTCTCCCCCATTACTTCTCCCAGCCTCTTTATTCGGCCTTTTATCTTCCCCTGTACCTCATCGAGCGAGTCCTTCACGCCTGCCCCCTACAGCATCTTTCCATCACCTTTGTTTTCCTAGTGGAAAGAAGGCATTTGTACTCTGGTCCTAACGCACTGTGTGACAGCTGGTCACTTCGCCTTGGACCCTCGATTTTCTTAACTCTAACACGTGGGACAAACTCTATTGGATCTTTTCAAACTATTCCAGGCAATAAAAAAAAAGTAAAGCCTTGAAATATCATGAAATAATACGACTGTATTAAACACAAAATACATAATATTGTGCTAAGTCAGGCAGACCTTCCTTGTGCAAGACTGTGATACAAATAATAAAAAGTTTAAGAAAAATATTTCTGAAATATTTTTAACTGATTACATTCTGAATATTCGCTCATTTATTCAAAAAACTGAAGAACTACTATCTTTTTTTTCTTAAACTTATTGGGGTGACATTGGTTCCTAAAATTATATAGGTTTCAAGTGTACAATTTGTAATATCATTACTTTTATTGGTAAAAGTCTTCTATACATAATTTGAAATCACCGAACTACATGTTCCACCTAAGTTTTCTATGTCACATTCTTTAGATTCTATAAAAATAACCGAATAAGTTAAGATGTTTTTCTCTTTTCTAAGTTTCTGCCTGTCTGCCTACTATCCTATTCCAAAATTTTCATGCAAATACTAATCAACTGTCTATAGTTATTAATCGAGGTAGTAATGAACGCTGGGGAGGGAGCTGATTAACTATAAGGAAAATGGAACTATGATACAGTCTGTTCAAAGAACTAATATAATTTTACTCATGATTAAGTTTATCTGAGTATATTTGGTGTATATCGTACAGTAGACACCACGGTACAGAAAAAAAGAGGCATTTTAAACAAGCTTGGCAGGTTACATTCACCTATCCACCCCCTACTTTTTTTTTGTAGAAGCCAAGAGGTGGCTCTACAGTTATCCTAGTAATGCTACCATTACTCAGATCTTTTTAAAATGCACTTTGGTAAACACCTGCAGACCTTGGGGTGTATTTTCTGGAATATAGTAAAAAGTAAAAATTCTTTTTTTTCCCCACCTCTACAGAGGTATGATCGACAAATAAACACTGCATGTATTTAAGATATGTAAACTCCATGTTCAGATATATGTGTAGGTACATGGTGAAATGATGTCCCCAGTCAAGCTAACTATCCATCACACAGTCACCTTGTGCGTGTGCGCACGCATGTGTGTGGCGAGATTATTTAAGATCTACTTCGCTACTTCATGAGCCGGAACAAAAAATAAACTGCATTTTTTTTCATAAGTCACATCTCTTTTGGTACAGCACGATGAATTAAACATACTGCTCACCCGAGGGACACGTGCCTATTTCCAAAACTCAAACTCACTCTCAAAGGACAAAGAATTTTTACTTATCTAGAGGAAATTATGCTACGTGAAATACACCAGACACAGAAAGACAAATACCGTATGACCTCACCAGATGTGGAATCTAAACAAGTTGAACTCACCGAAACAGAAAATAGGATGGATGTTGCTGGGGCTCGTGTTGGAGATGTGGGTGTGTGTTGATCAAGGGCTACAGACTTGCAGTTCTAAGGTGAATAAGTTCTGGTGACCATAGTTAATAATATGGTATTATGTACTTGAAATTGTCTAAGAGCATAGATCTTAAATGATCTCGCCACACGCGCGCGCGCACAAGCAGGAGATGACTGTGTGATGGATAGTTAGCTTGACTGGGGACATCATTTCACTGTGTCCACAATATCAGAACACGGGGTTACACACCTTAAAATACCTGCATTATATAGCAAAGGGAGAAGTAAAACTTGCACAGTGAGAAATTGTTCATCTGATAATCTTCCTGTTATCCTCACGGCTACAGTTCCGATTTCTCTCAGTATGTGGTCTCTCTTTCTTTCTGCTGGGAGAAGAAGAAACGTGTTGAAGATGAGGGAGAGGAGAAAAGCAGGGTTGTGATCTAATAACGCTTCAGGCAGTTTTACTTCTCCCTTTGCTACAGCCAAGGACCCCGACTCGCTGCAGAATGTGAACATCTCCGTGATCTCCAAGCCCCAGTGCCAGGACGCCTATAAAACCTACGACATCAAAAGCAGCATGCTGTGCCTGGGCATTGTGCCGGGGAGAAGGCAGCCCTGCAAGGTAACGTGCTCTCCATGCCTTCGTTTCCTCCACGTTATTCCTTGTGCCTTTTGCCTGAAAGAACCTGGTTTCCTTCTTCCCGGCAGGAAGTCGCGGCTGCCCCAGCCGTCTGCAACGGGATACTCCATGGAATCCTGACTTTTGCAGATGGGTGTGTTTTGAGAGCAGATGTCGGCATCTACACCAAAATCTTTCACTACGTGTCCTGGATTGAAAATACAATCCGAAACAACTGATTCCGCGGCAAGAATTCTGCACCATGTGACGTAGCCGGCACCCACGTCCGGTCACACAACCTAAACAGACTCCTTGGGTTGCATCTCGCATACCTGACTCACTTCCGCTCGACGGAGCGGGTGACGTGTACCCCCCTGTACTGTGTGACTACACATGATGACCTTTCTTCTTTCCCTCCCAACGAAGATGAGACCAACTCAACACCCCGTAGGTAGCTGCAGTTTACAGAGCAGGATTGTGTTCTAACAAATTGATCATTGACTTATTGAGAAAAAGGCCACTCGGTAGCCATTTGGGGTGACAAAACCCCTATTACTTGCATTGAATTAACCGATATATGTGCAAGTTACACATGCCAAGTGGAAAAAAGGAAGTTCCGAGGAGGAGCGAGCTAACTAGCAACACAGGCGAGGGAGAAGGTGTCGGCAGGGAGACTGGGAGACACTGTCCTGCTCATCCAACTCTCACCCTCAGGCCGAGATTCTGGTCATGCATTTTGTGGCATTCTTGGGAGGGACTTGGGCCAGGAGAGGTTACGACAAAAGTTCCCTGGGGCTTATGACATAAGAAGGAAATATTCCAGCAGTAAATATTGTCCTCTCCAGGGTTCTAAAATCCCTAAGCCATTATCGCCTAGCTCACAGAGGGGAAGGGCAGCTTTTCACGTATGGATTATTAAGTGCAACTGGTGTCTTATAAGTTCTTATAAGTTCTAGGTGATGAAGCGTTCCGTGGGCATCAGCTTGTTGTCTGACCACCATCTCTGTAAGGGTGACATTTCTGGTTGGAAAGTACATTCCTCTTCTGGGGAATACATAAATCATCCAGTTAATTCAGGGATGGTGGTGCTGGGAGTGGTGATGGCCAGAGGAAAAAACAGCCAATTCTAGAACATGTCATTTTCAGTGAGGACGAAGTGCTACTCCCTCCACAAGGGAGGGGCCCACCTACCACCACCTGGCTGGTGAGATCCTGGGGCAGAGTACAGATCAGTACTACATCAGGGCTGCGGCTGGTCATGGAAACTGGCAAACTGGGTCTTCGGCAGTGGTGGTGGCCAGGTGAGACTCGCGAGAAGTCCCTGCATTTGGTCCCATGGTTCCTTTTATTTATGAAGTCGTTGGAGAAGAAAAAAAAAAAGAAAGAAAGAAAAGAATACATACTTGGGAGAATGAGAGAGGACTTCAGCACCAACGTGTTAAACAGAGCCCTGCATAAATGAGGTGCAGTCTTTTCACCCTCGGTGAACTGTTCAAGGAGAAATCTCCTTGAGGTCGTGCGTGTGGGCTGAGGAAAGATGCCCAGAGCAATCGCTTATTTGGGCCTTCGGAGCCTAATATACCTCTGCTCCATTTAGGATTCTAGCTGAAGATGAAATGCTGCTGAGTGTATCCAAATTAATGACAAAGAGATAGCGCCACCTCCGTGCTGAGTCCACCGGTGACATTAAGTCAGGCACTTAGTCTCCACCAGACCCTAGTGACAAACCAGAAGCTATTTCCCAAAGAGGAAAAAGTAGCATGATTTTGCTACCACGTCTAGGGATCTCTCTTTTGATTTTCTTATTACGCTTTGCTATAAGCTTCATTTAGTATGCTAAAGATATTTCTAGCACCACTGGATCTACGGAGTTTAAACCCGAGAAATAAGAGCATTTCGACCTGTACCGGCTGGATTTCTGACTTAGTCCCTTGCTAAATTTGCACGTATGCTAAAGATACTTTTAGCACCACTGGATCTACGGAGTTTAAACCCAAGAAATAGAGCATTTCAACCTGTACCAGCTGGATTTCTGACTTAGTCCCTTGCTAAATTTGCAACTTTCTAGATCACTCATTAAATGGCTCAGAGCATGATGTCCTAATGACATACATGTTGCTTATAAAAATTTAGAAGCCTTCAGACATCATTCTAAACAGTAGAGAGCACAAGGTACACTAATGCGTTCATTCCAGTGGAGGAACTTGACATCCACCCACGAGTCTCACTGCAGAAGCAGGTGACCGGATTTTCACTGGTTATATCACCTACCCACTACCACGTATCTGCCTTTCTATGACCTAGGGAACTTGTTACTTCCTGTTTATCTAGTCCTATCAACATATCGTCAGTATGACAGACCGATATGGTTCCCTTTGAACCAATATGATACCCTTTGAGATTGTCAAACTCAGGGCCAGAGCAATGATGACTGCCTGAGCACGAAGGTAAAACTATACTGCGGTCTCTGCCAAATAAAAGCTAATTCATTCTGAGCTTCTTGAAGACAACGTACAAAATTGCACTTGCTAGATGAATGCCAAATGTGAAGGACAGTATTTGCTCTAGTGAGGAGGCTAATATGGAACAGCAACCATAACTGGTGTCACCCCCGGATTACCCGATAATCAAATACCATCATTCCCCATTACTCTTTTGACCTGGCCAACCTAAAGAACTGACTGTGGTTATAATAGAAATTATCGGCCAGCATGTTTCAAGTCTGTGTTGGTGGTACTGATCTTTGCAGTATGCTAATGTTTTAGATTTACTGAAGGGAAATGGCACCGATTTGCTCGTAGCCCCTCCTGTAATAAAAGCCCGCACTTCACAGGCCCGGGAGAGACTGCAACAGTTGTGGGGATTCTATCAGTTGTAGAAAAAAATTCCACCTGCCCCCCACCCCTACGGTATGCTTAAGAAATAGGGAAATAAGTTCTAGATGATTTTAGAGCCCCTACTGAATTATCCTAGGGAAGACTTAGGTTAAAAATCCATTTATTCCTCCATTTCCATACGCCCTATTCTGATCTGAGGATAGCACGGATAAGAAGCCTTCCTCACCCCCACTGCAAATCAGTACTAACTCCGAACCAGAATCTCTTAAAAAATTTAGCTGTGTTCAGCCCAACCGGCCAAGTAAATCGACTCGGTCGCTTCTGTACAGACTAGAAGGCTCCTGGCAGTAGAAGAGGGTCTGCTCTCTCAGGCACCCAGGCTCCCCTTCATTCAAGGGACATTGAATCGGCCAATGTAACTGAGGTTTGCTGACTCACATCGGTCCGCTGTGACCAAATCTGTCAGGCATCTTGTTTTGTTTTGTTTTCTGGTTTAAAACGACGGAATTCGCACTCAGAAACCTGAATGGTGGGATGTCATTCTAAGTGTAACTGGCAGCATTGAGAATTCTGATGTTGCCACATATCTGAGCCATATTCTTTACCTGCTCTTTAAATAATTTTGCTAGAAAGTTCCTTCTCCACCTCCCTTACTCCTTTATCTCAATTCATATTTATGCCATCGGAAAATATATTGCTTTTCCCGCCAAATGATTAGATTCAGTTAGTATAATTCTGTCTGTTCTCATCTGGTCCTGTAGAATTTCCGATATCAGAAAGTACTTAATGAGAAAATAAAGTTGAACGGGCAAATCACTCTTAACAGCCTGAAGGCAGGAGACCCACATCACACAGATCGGTATTTCCTATCTAAATAATGAAGGGATAACATCATCCATTCGATCATAAAACACTGTTTGTTAATATAATATTGAATGCCAATAGTAACTGAAAAAAAATTTTTTTAATTTAAAAAGCAAAACGTTATCAGATCGGATCACAAAACAAAACCAAACTATAAACGACGTCTGAAAAGGTATATCGGTAACAACAACAAAAGCACTGTTTACACCCCCCAGCCTCTGCCAGCCAAGGAGGGTTCGATTAACCGCCATGGAATCAAGGAACTAGGCCATGGTAGACACAAGTCACGGTATGAGCGAGCAGCACCGCATCTGGGAAGCGTCCGCGGAGCGCTCAGGGACTGACTAGGTAAAAGGGACCCACCAGAGCCAAGGTGCCTTCCACCGCTCCAGCCAGAGACGCCGGGCTGTAGTCGCTTCTGGGGCGGCCAGCAGAGGGCGTCGGCTTACCTTTAAGCGCAGGTGGCCAGGTGGCCGGTGCCCTGCCCTAGCCTCTGCCTCCCAGGGACGGTGTTCTCAAACACAGGTGCCCTTCCTGGAGGAATGACAGAACACAGGTAGGTATGAAAATGTCCCCGGGGACCTGGGCGGGTGCCAGACCTCCTCTCCCTACTGTCTTTTCCTCTAGAGCCGAGCAGGTGTTCACAACACTTGAGAGGGGGCTGAAAGAAGACCAACTCTGGTGACAGGTGGCGGGCCCCTGTCTGGGCAGATTATGGAGAACTGTGGGCACATGGCACCCCCTAGTGGAAAAAAAACCTGCCCCCTCCGCCAGCCCCTGCGCTGCACAACGACCCGCACCGCCGTTAGAGGCCGAGGCGCCTTCGAAGCGCCCTCTCCGCGCTCACGCCCACCTTGCGCCCGTTACCTGCTCACTAAGTAGACCGAATCCCTCGGCGACAGAGATGCTCCGAGCGAGACGACAGTGGCTCGAGCACTGCGGCCTCCAGGTCGCGCACCCCCGCGGGAGTCCCGGGCTCTGCGCCCCTCCCCCACCACGCACCTCTCGGCCGCTGGTCCCCGGATGTTCGCCCGCCTGGCCCCCTGGCCCCGCCCTCCTCGCGCTCAGGTGCAGACCCGGCTCAGAGCCTGGGCCTTGGGGGGTAGGCCCCCCGCTGCGTTCCGGACCCTCGGACCCTCGTCCTTTCTAGCTTAGGCCTCCCTGTCGGTCTCACTTTTAAAAAGGGCCACCTGAGACTGGGCTGTGGGTCGTTGAGGTGGCGCTGAGCGCTGAGAGCGGGGATCTAACGGAGAACCGGGATCGAATTGGAAAAGCGGGTGTTTACTTATGCTCTGGGAGCAAGTGGGGCCACACTGAGATGTTCATTCTCCCCCTTTCCGAGCTCCCAGACTTTCTCCGGGTTTCTTTCCTGCCGCGTCCTCTTTCTACCCTACTGCGTGACAAGGTCTGGAGATGGGGACAGAGGCTTCAAGGAATGCATCGTCAAGAACGAGGACGTGGCATGTGTTTAGGGATAATTGGTTTCTTAGAAATGATCCTATTAATAGGGGGAATTTGGGTAGCACAAATTCTAGTAAGTGTAAACGCTATACAAATGGATTTCCTCAAAATTGGCTCTGAGGAAAACATAGTAAATTCCCCGCGTATGGAATCAGCTCTAGTCACCCTGACGTGTCCAGAATGCGTAAACCCTTTATTTGAACAATTATTAAGGGAAATTCCTTTTGGCGCGCCTCTTAAAGATATTATGAATAAATTATAACAAACTGAATTACTAGAACCAGTTTATACTCCTGTTCCCACGCAGTTAGTAGAAAAATTAGTAAGGATAAGAAATTTACTCATAACCTGTGCCTACTATAGAAGGGCCTCCTTTTGTGGCCTAGTGGATAAATAGAAAACTCTGGTATCCACCTAGGGGGGCTAATAGTATGAAAAGATTACCTGATCTTCCTTTGCCTTATTCAGAAGCTTATAATAAAGATAGTATACATGTAGTGAATAAAGATAGAATTCATGTGCTTTATAGTAGTTTAAGTTTCATAGAAAGGCTGGCTAGGTCGGGATCTCCTTGGTGCTTAAAAACAAAGGAACAGAAACTTAGCTTATGAAAGCAGCTTTGTAAAACTGATTTTTATAAATATTTTCCTCATTACTGCACCAAGGAAACTTTTGAACAGCTATGAGAAAGGTTCAGCTTGAACTTTAGATATAGCATAAATCAAATAGCATTTAAAAGATTTCTTCAGGCAGAAAGAAGAACAATGTCTGCCCACAAGCCAATACTTGCTGTTATGAATACATCTATCTATCACCTTTACTTAAATCAAACTGTATCTTACGTAATAGATATAATAATTAAAAGTTTAGATTGTTCCATCAGGTAGTTCTGTTCTAATGATTGAGAGAAAAATGTACTAGTTAATCATGAACATTAAGAATAATATACTCTATAAGATTGTCTGCTCCGCCTAACCACAGAAATTTAACTCCCTGCTACCTTAACAACAAAGTATAATCAAATGCCAAATAAAAAGTATAAAAGTTGTACTCAAATCACAATAAAACGGAACAGTGTCACACCGCCTCTGAGCTGTGTAGTCGACTGTCTCCCGCGCCGACGCCTTGCCCACCTTCGGGGCCCCCTGGATCCTGTCGTGGCTGGACTGCGGCACTTTCCGGCACCTGTCTGGGCGTCGAGGATGGTGTTAAATGCCATGTGCTTTCTCTGCGTGCAGGCTGCGGACACCCGAGACCATAGCCAACGCCGCTTAAGCGCTTCCTGCCTACCTCTGTCTTACACGAAAGGCTTCACCGGAGCTGTTATGTTTGACCCTCGCAGTGACCCTCCGGCTGTGTGGAGTTACTGTCTGTACTTTACAGATGCAGAAACTAAGTTTCAGGGAGACTAAGTCTTCCCCACAGTTCACAGGTGGCAGAGCCAAGGTCTCCGCCTCAGTCCCCCAGAGTCTGCGGCTCTGTGGCTCATGGCTGTGCATGCAGGCAGAGGTCACTGAGGGCAATGGAGAAGCCGCAGGCAGACTCTACTTGCAGTAAAGCCGCCAGAAAGGAGGATCTGGGGTGGGGAGAAGCGGGCTGGGGGCTGTCAGGGCAGAGGAGGAGCCGCTTGAGTCTGTGGGTGGGAGCCAGGGCTGGTTTTTATTCATCTACCCAAGGAGGGTTTCTCGCTGTGTCTTTACTGCAGGCGCAATACAGGGTTCTGCCCTGCGTCACATTGGCCACATGCAGCCTCAGCTCGGTGTCATCGACCCGCTCGGCCTGGTAATCTGCTCCGGAAAGGGATATGGCCTGCTTTTCCCTAGGATTCCGCAGAGTGGCCAGCATCTGGAGTTGCCCCTGGGTATCCTGTTGGTACCAGCTCATCCAGGGGTACTGGGAATTCTTCAGGAAGCAGCGCAAGGTTTCAGCCTGTCCGCGACGTACCAGGGCCCATGTGGGCCTTTGCTCCACGAAGCTTGCAGTGGCATCTGAAATACACAGGCAGGCCAGGCCGAAGGTGCTGGGGTAGGGGCGGGGGAGTCACCCCCAGAAATAACTAGTGAGGCCAAACCCTCCAGAGGGTGAGGAACTGTGCCTGGGGAGGTCTTGGCAAAGCTGGGGTCAGGGAGCGGAATTTTCGGCACCTCCCGGTGCCCCAGTGACCCAGTCCCTCCTTTCCTCCCTCAACCCACTGAGTGGCTCTCTCTGCTTGGCATCTGACCTGTTCTCATGGCAGCCGTGAGAATCCAGCCCCACAGAATGCGAAGTGGTACCATTCCCTGACCCCGCAGGCCCTCTCCAGCAGGACAGTGGGACAGGGGGCCGTGGGACAGGGCCAGCCAGGCAGGAGAGCAGAATCCTGGCCTATACGGTGGCAATTAGTGGCTGACACTCTCTCTCGGCCTGAAACTCAGAAGGGAGTGGCTTTTCCAGGAAACTCAATATCTTGTCTCATCTTCTCACTGAGGTCCAAAACCTCAAACTGGAGAGCGTTTCCTGTTTCCTGCACACCGGCACCACTCACATGCATACGAGCGCACACCCCACATTTACCGAGTGCCTCCATGAAGGTGCTTGGCCCTGCACCCTCTCATCTGTGTCCCAGCGATGCCTAGGACAGTGGTTCTAAATTGTGCCTCAAATCTTCCCGAGGGATTAAAATATCTCAGTGTAACCAAAGGACACTAGTAGATTGAACAAAGACCCCTCTCCCCCACATGCTACACAGATGGGCAGAGGCTGCTGCAAGGCTACCCTGGGCAGTGGACAATGGACACTCATCTCCAGTGAGCAGTGATTTCCTCTGCAAGGACAAAGCCAAATTCAACATAAGAGACTTAATTCTCCCTGTTAAAAATAAGGGAAAAGACTTCCTTCCCATCCATTTTCTTAGAGCATTTACTTTAGAAAACTTGTGAGTTCTTTCTCTGTCTCTTGAAAATGTATGTAAGTTCTTTTTTTTTTTTTTTAAAGCCAAGCAACCTCTTGCCAGGATTAAGACCCAGGAATGTCTTTCTCGAGGATCCGCAACCATCTCTTTGAAATATAAACATCGAGGTAGATGAGCCTAACTTAATTTAGAGCGGACGCCTCACGCCAAGTTGCAAAATGACTCCCTGTCATAGATATATGCCAAGTTTATTTTCCTGTAGATAGAGCCAATTAACAAACACAGAGGGACACCCCAATTACCAAACACAGAGGGACACCCCAATTACCAAGGGACTCTAGGATAGACAATGGATTCACAAAAAGTCCCGTCAAGTCCTCTCATTTGAGGACCAGTCATTGCTTGTCTTGAGAACATGTGTGTAACGGGTCGTGTCTACTGGCCTGTATAAGAGGCAGAGCTTGCTTTCTGTCTGGACAATCTCTTAGCAAAATGCCTGTGATGTGTATCACATGCTGATGTAATGCTTATTCGTAATCAAACACTTCTTTTCTCTTCTGCTTTTGTGGAGAGGTTATCCGAGTGGGGAGGAGATTTTGTATTCAGTTATAATTTCCCCAACAACTCATAGCTCTGCCATCTCCTAGTGGTGTGACCTCGGGCCTCGGTTTCTTCCATAAGATGGCTATAATAATGAAAGCTATTTCATGAGAATAAATGGATGAACACATGAAAAATTCTTAGAATAAAGTGTAGACGAAGCACTTAGTAAAGTTGACTTCTATTATTCCATGGCAAATTTCAAAATCAATTAAAATATGATCGAATTAATAGGAGTTTTTATCTTTCTCTGATCGCTTATCACTCAGTAATCAACTGAGATTAAAACTACATGTCCTCATAACTTTTGAACATTAAGAGGCCTCGTTTTTCAGAAAGTTGGAAACCAATGATCTGGGAAATTAGATTTAAAATAAGGCTCTGTGTCTACGAATCTACCACCTCTCCGGCCTCAGCATTTTACAGACAACAGTATGGGGACACAGTGCGGGGTGGGGGGCAGTTGGCAATTGAACTTCACCACTTCAAGACCTGGAACTGCACGGTATCTAAGTCGGCGTTTGTGTGTCTGCTCGTCTCAGACACTCGATAAATGAAGACAGGAATGGAGCGGGGCAAGCCCGCAGACCCCAGGAGAGTCCCCACATGGAGGCCCAGCAGTGGCCTGGCATTCTGGGGGTTTGCACCTCCCAGGTTCACTACTTTTTAAAAATCTTTTGAAGTTTTAATACATACACCAATCCGGCACCCATGATTCTGGCAAAGGTTAGCAGTCATTGATGCCATTTGGTGGCAGCATAATACAGTTTATAATCCACTTATTCATAATCTTGCTAACTTTGAAATTGTGTTTCTTGATTTAAAAAGATACAGATTCTCATTATGTACAATTTTGTGTATAGAGTGACTTCACTAATATTTTTCTGTATCGTGCAGTTTCAAAACTGCATAATCCAGCTGTGGACCAAATGTCAATTGCACCGCTTCTAGGCACCCCGTGCAGATTCACTTTGGCCGTTTGCTCCCTGACCCATTCCCAGCCTGGCCACCCTGGAGAGGGATGAAGCCCTGGGAAGCACTGCCCAAGTCTCACATCTTGAATACCAGAAAAATGTACAGGCCAAGAAGGATGTGTCCTCGCCCCAGCAAGCCATGTGCATTTAATTCCGACTTTTCGCTGTGGAGAGAGGCACTCTGGGACGAGATGATAAAAGGAAAC